GCCTCAGAGTTAACTGTCGTCTGCCAGAGCTAACAGTCCTCAGTGCTCAAGAGAGAATCGCTGGCTCTCACAGCCTTCTTTGTGTCTTAGAGAAAGCACCATTTAAATAACAGCGATACCAACTAGTTAATATTCTTGACAGAAGAATCGATGGAGAGGCACAGAACATTCCGGAAGACACATAACCTGGCTGTAATTGGAGAGACTAAATTCTATTTTTTTTTAAACATAAATGGGACTTGTATTTTTTTGGAACAGCATACCATTAGAATCTTGCTTTATTAGGGAATGGTTAGTAGTTAGAAGGGGTTTATTTGGTTTGTTTAGTTAATTTGTTCACTGTTAGAGTTTAAAAAATAAGTTGTTACTTGTTGATTTTAAAGTGAGGATCAGGCATTTATTTTATTTAACCACTAGAAATTGATGAAAGGCAGGTTACACAACTTCTTGCACTCCTTTTGCAGGTTGAAGGGCGAGGTTCTCCTCTTCGGGTGTTGCGGTTTTAGTTCTCAGAGGGGGGGTCAACCTCTGCTTTATAACAACTGCTTCTGCCGCTGTATCCAATATCTACTTCAGCATACTGACTGCAGTGTGTTCAGTCTACAAATTATACTGTAGCAGCACCAAATGCTCACTTGTAAAATACTTTGCTTTTTACTGGGATAAACACTGAGAATGGCTAGAGAAGCAGTATTATGCAACACCATCACTTTTAACTCACACCTATTTTAATGTAAATGTAAATCTCTGCTCCTTTATAATTATTAAGTTGCCTCTACATTTTGTAATCCTCTATCTAGCACCATCCTCACCTGGACAGTGATTCAAAGAAAGACCTGTTTTTGTCTTGACTAACTAGGAATCATCAAGAGATGCTGCCATGCCTCAACAACTTATACTCACATAAAATTTGTGCTGTCCATCCATAACGTTTGCTTTCGGCATTTTAATTGGTCAGCCCTTGTGATGCTGGTCTAAACTCCTGCCTGAGTGACTGAAATACAGCAAACCTTTTATTAGGTGTCACCTATGGGACCAGGAGTTGATCAAATATTCTGGTTGTTCCACAAAAAAATGTAAGAACATTCTAAGTAACAGAAACTTAATGCAGAGGGTATACACATTGCTGTTATGTGTTATTGATAGCATAAATCACTTAAATAATAATGCAAGTTTGCCTTAAATAAAACTTACCAGCAGAGAGCCTTCTCGCCTTTTCACTGTACCTAGGTACGTGACAATAATAAATCAAAAATAAATTGCATTCTCAACTGACTACTTGGACATTGTGGAGATCGTGATAAATAGAGTAACTTCTGGTATTTGTGTATAATTTTTGTTGGTTTATCAAGAGTGTTGGTTCATTAAGGTGCTGGTTAAAACAAATTGTGCTGTAATAGCTCTCACTGGTAGCATAAAGTAGCTCTGCAGCATTTTGGCTGACTGTTCTGACTCACTTTGGCTGAGTGATGGTTGCTAAGTATTTCCTCAACAATTTTCCCTAAATAGAGTGCGTGTTCCAAACACTGGAGATAGGGCAACAATTATAAAAATGGCCACAATGATTTATTTGCATATATGCACATTCACTCAAAACAAAGAACAGGAAGAAAGATTAGAAAGGCATTATAGCTAAAAGTTGCAAACCACAAATGTATCATGTAACAGGTGTCAAAACAAAAACTGATGGATTATTAATTCACTGAGCACAATTATAAATAGCAGGACAAAAAAAGGACTGCTCCTGAAGGAAAATCAGATCTGGATAAATAGCAGAACATTTTATAGGATTAATTAAAACATAGCAAAAATGATACGAACAAAATTCCAAATGCTGTCAGCACTTTGAAGGCTACTCCTAAGAGTTCCTTGCAAATGTATTTGTGTTTCTTTGGCCTTATTTACATTCATATATAATACTGTTTTGCTGCAGAATTTAAATTATCTGAAGAAAGACTGGATACGCAATTTTTCAATTGTTAAATGGGATGTGGCCTGTTCAGCATCCCTAACTGCCTTTGAACTGAGTGGCTTACTAGGCCAATTTCAGAGGGTAATTAAGAGTACACTGCATTGCTGTGGGCCTGGAGTCACATGTGAGCCAGATCAGGTAAGGATGGAGATTTCCTTCCCTAGTGAACCAGATGGACTTCTACGAAAATCGACAGTGGTCACATGGTTGCCCTTAGACTAACTTCTGTTATTCCAAACTTTATTGAATTCAAATTTTATTATCTTCCATGGTGGAATTTGAACTCCTATCCCCAGACCATCTATTTTTCCTAATCAACCTGTTCAGAGATGTTATTAAAAACCTCCAGAGCTGATGGGGACTTGAACCTGGGCCTCCTGCACCACAAGAGGGCCCCCTATTAGTTTGGGTCTAATAATATTCAGATAATAATCATGGATTTAGATTGATAAAATGGAATTTTGTTGATTGAGTTTTTTTTAAAGAAGTAAAGGCAGAACTTCAAAGCTGAATAAAAACCTTTTATGAAAGTATGCAAATATATGAATTTAGAGCAGGTGTATATTATGAAGGTAGAGGAGACCCTTGAGTCTGCTCTACCATTCAACAAGACCTTGGTTGTTCTGATTATTCCACATTGCCCTAGCGCTAATAACATTTCATTCCTTTGCTTATCACGAATTTATCCACTTCTGCGTTAAAAATATTCAAAGGCTCTGCTTCTGCCACCTCTAAGTAAGAGAGCTCCAAAAATTCAGAATCATCTGAGAGAAAAATATTTCTCCTCATCTCTGTCTTAATTGGTGACTGCGTATTTTGAAACAGTGAGTTTCAACATAGTTCTAGATTATCCCATAGAACAAGTGAGCGGCATGGTGGCACAATGGTTAGCACTGCTGCCTCGCAGTGTCAGGGACCCAGGTTTGATTCCAGCCTTGGGTGACTGGCTGTGTGGAGTTTACACATTCTCCCTGTGTCTGCATGGGTTTCTGCTGGGTGCTCTGGTTTCCTCCCACAGTCCAGAGTTGTGCAAGTAAGGTGAATTGGCCATGCTCAATTGCCCATTGTGTCCAGGGATATGCAGGTTAGGTAGATTAGCTATGGTCAAGGTGGAGATGGCATTCAACTGATTAAGTTGAATAACTTTCCTAAATATTTGTGTTGTCCAATGTTATCATCATTTTAAAGAGCTGAATAATACCTTTTCACAGAAATAATTATTTAGAATCTATTCGTACATCAACATCTTACTATGTCGCTTCTTTTATTTCTGTAATATAAAATGAAGTATCTTGCCTCCTAAATTTATCTTACATCACAGACTTAAATATGTAATTAAAATAATATGAGAAGATAACTTAAGAATATCATCCAGGCATCAATACGTCTGAAACTGTTCTGTAGCAAATGTCATCCAGTTGAAAGTATTTAAAAACAGCAGTTATAGACTCAGGCTAAATGGCCTCCTTCTATGCTGTACTGTTCTATGATTTCACTGCCTTAGCATTTCTCTTTGTGGTATTATTTAAATGACATCTTTATCAGGGGTTCTATGTATTAGTTTGGTCTCCTTACTTAAGGTGGCACATAATTGCATTTAACAAGAACAGCAAATGTTCATTTGGTTGGTTTGTAGAATGAGGGGTTTATCTTTTGGAGAAAGGTTTGACAGATTGGGCCTGCACTCAATGGAGTTTAGAAGAATAAGAGGTGATCTTATTGAAACATACACAATTCCCAGAAAGCTTGACATAGATGCTCGACAGATGTTTCCTTTCAGACTTTAGCCAAGAACTATGAGTAACAGTTTCAAATTAAGGGTCACCAATTTAAGATAGAGGGAGGAATTCTATTTCTCAGAGGGTTATTAAAATTTAGAGTTCTCTTCCTCAGAATAGTGGAGGCTGTATCATTGAATATATTCGAGGTTGAATTGGACAGATTTTATATTGACAAGGGAGTTGCAGGTTATGCGTGGGCGTATCTGGGAGACCAGGTGACATTTTTTTAGCCACCGACAAAAAAGGGAAGTGAGGAACTTGAGTGTATGTGTGTGCCATCATGCTAAGTGCTATTTACTAATTTGGGACACAACAGGAGAGTGGCATTCAGTGAAGAGACTTGTGTCTCCAGTGATGGTTGTTGAATGCCTTCATTTAGACACTGAATAGAACCCTGTCTCTATACTTACCACATACTGGGAACAGAGAGCTGCTTTCTGACTGGAGCAAGAAGATAATCAGAGGTCAGTGCCACAACAAGACTTTAGCTTTGGGCCATGAAATTCTGGAATTGGGCAGTCTGGGGTTCTGTAACAATGAGACTCATTCTCCTTGTCAGTAGTTGCACAGAAATGTTCAAGTACATCATAATTAGCCAATTTATATAGAGAATAGTGCACATAGTTAAAAGATTACTTGTTCTGTATTTAGAATTTGTATTGATGTCTTGGATTTTTTTCTGTGAACTTTTAGTAGCATTTGTTTCAGCCCTTGTCATCAGGGAGAAATGGGTCTTCATTCCTTAGCCCTTCCACTCGTTAACTCTGATAGCAGATTTCATCTCTGAATGATCTTGCCCAGTGGCTGGAATATAAAACCTAATTCCTTGCTGTATTCTGCAACAGCACATTTACAAGATTATTTAATGTGTCTCCTCAAAGGCTGCAGATTTATAGCACTGAATTTCACTCAACAATTCATTGTTGAAGCCCACAAAATGTTTACAAGTAATTTGTTACTGGAAGAAGTGCATATTTAGTGAAAATAGCAAATGCAAGCCCCTTTAAGTAGTAGATGGTACGATCTCAAAGCAAATCACATGATTCCGCATTCTCTGTTGGAGCAGTCAAGCTATTTTTCCTCTTGCTCGCTGGCTCTGAATGAGCTGTAGTCAGCTTAGCCTCTGTCTCACCCTGTTTTTAAATGATGAATGAGAAAAAGTGGGGTGAGCTGCAGGTGCAATCTCAGGTCTCACCTTCTTCAGACACACCACTAATCATGTCTCTGTGCTGCTGTTTGTTTTACAGAGAATGTGGAGGAATAAGGAAGAAATCAGGTAAGCATTGTTTTCCAATTACAATGCTATGCGCAGCAGAGATTTTTCCATTAAAAGCAATGATACGCAAAATGAATGTCCAAAGGAAGCAGCCAGTTATGATTGCAGAAAGCCAATGTCCTAGTCAGAAGCTGACTCCTAAACAGGTGGCATCACCAGCAGGTGATTGTAAAACTCAAATTTAAAGCCACACACAAGGCTGGCCCAAATGTTTGTCATTCTTAGTTGGGTAACTAAAAAAGATTGTGTGTGTGTGGGGCTCTAAAAGTGATTGAAAAATAACCATCAAAAAGTGCCTTTTATGAAATCTACAAAGTGACATGCAGCAGCATTCCCCTCCCTGAGCTTTTTTAGAAGTGTGCCCTCCAGCCAAATTGTTAATTGTCACATTGTTCTTTATTCTGTAGAATTAACCAGAGTTGAATATTAATTAATGTAATTGTATCAGAAACTGCTCCAGAAGTATACGAGATAGTAGGAACTGCAGATGCTGGAGAATCCGAGACAACAAGGTGCAGAGCTGAATGAACACAGCAGGCCAAGCAGCATCATAGGAGCAGAAAGGCTGATGTTTCGGGCCTAGACCCT